CCTCCCTCCGAGATGCCAGCCTGTTCCGTGCTTCTGTGTCTCTGGACCTATTTTGTTAATCGTTTATGTTGTTCATTAGATTCCACAGATGAGTGTGATCATGTGACACTTGTCTGTCTCTGACTGGCTTATTTCACTGAGCACCATGCTCTCCAGGTCCCTCCAGGCTGTTGCAAATGGTGAGTTTTTCTTTGCTGCTGCGTAGTATTTCCTGGTGTAGACGGACCACAGCTTCTTTATCCACTCGTCTGCTGACGGGCACTTGGGCTGTTTCCAGGTCTTCGCTATGGTGAATTGTGCTGCCATGAGCACAGGGGTGCATACGTTCTTTCTGATGGGTGTTTCTGATTTCTTTCCATTGATTTTTAGAAAGAGTGGAGGGGAGGGAGGGAGTAAAAGAGGAAGAGAGAGAGAGAATAAACCATCGATGTGAGAGAGACACATCTATTGGTTGCCTTCCTGCGTTCCTGGCCAGATGGAACCTACAACCCTAGTAAGTGCCGATGCTCTAACCACTGAGAACACCAGCTAGGGTGAGGGTCCAGCTGTTTTTTAAAAACAACGTTTTACCTAATTATGAAAGTAACACCAGATCATCGTCAAAGCTGGGGAACCTGCACAGAATAAATAAAATCACTCACAGTCCTGCCACCCGCGTGAAGCGCTGTTACCATGGTGATGCATTGTAGGCAGGTGATGGAGTCCTGACCCCCCTCCCCCACTCTCTGGCCAGGGGCCGCTGCGCTTGGGCCATGAAGGCCAGCGACTGCCGTGATGGGGTGGACAGGGCGCCTGCGGGGGGCAGCCAAGTGCCCCTTCTCGGCCCCACACCAATAAGTTACGTCCCAAACTCGCAGGAGCAGGTGGAGACCTCCTGGGTGGGGCCCCGCCCTCGCGACAGAGTTCAGTAACAGGACACAGTCCTCAGCCATTTGCTTCCCAAAGACGGGCTCCCACATGCATTTATCTCCTGGTTTTTATTTATGGCTGAAACCAGGCAGTTGTTCCAAAGAGAACCACCCCTACCTTCCAGGCTCTCCCTGACCTCGGCCCAGCTCCGCCCCCTCCACACACACTGGGTGTCTCAGCTGTCACCCTGTGACACTGTTGGGGCAGGTGGCAAATTGGGATGTGGACTGTCGGCCGGATTCGAGTGTCATCTCAGCGTGGGGCTACTATGTGGGGTAACTGCCCCGAGATTGTCCGTGTTCCCACAAAACGCACAGCTGGGAACGTGCAGGCACACGGATGTGCGTGTGTGTGCGCGTGTGTGTGTGTGTGCGCGCGTGTGTGCATGTGTAAGGAGAGAGTGCTGTCCGTGAGAACTCCGTGCTGATCTTGCAGCTTTTCTCTGTGTGAAAAATGTTCAGAATACTAAGTTTAAAAAACACGATGGAAGGAAAAAGCGCCCTGTAAGCCCAGCACCCTGCACCTCTGGACCCCACAGGTGTGGGGGGTTGCATTGCCGTCTGTCTGTCTGTCTGTCTCGTGGGGGTGCTGGCTGCGCCCAGTGTCTGAGGACACCTTGGCTGCTGCCACAGCGTGGGGTGTGGAGGTGAGGGGCCCTCCCCGTGCCAGGGCCCTCCCAGTGCCAGGGACCGATGGCAGCAGGGGAGGCACAGGAGCCAGAGCATTTCCGGAGGTTGAGTGGCCGTCCTGGGAGGAGGGGGAGCCAGCTGGACGCCCCAGGTGCCCCCTCCTCCCTGTCTGCAGGCCTGGCTGTCCCGCTAGCGAAAGGCACGTGTGTTTGCAAGTACGTACGTGTGTCCTGACCCTCCCAGCCTGTGAGCAGCACACGTGTGCATGGTGGCGTGTGTGTGCCCAGGGCATGTGCGCTTGTGTGAGTGTGTGCACATGTGTGTGCAGAGCACAATCCGGCCTTTTCTCTGCCGGCGGCTTTTCTCGCTCAGCCTTGCGTGGGGTGGTGCTGGGCGTTGGGATGTGCTGTTGTGAGAGGCAGCCACGCTTCTCTCTGCTTTCTGGTCAGTGCAAATGCGTTTTCCCCATTTTTGCTTTTACAATCTCCGTCAGCTTTTAAAATCCTCCTCACACCTGTTTGTGTGAAGTATTTCACTTCTGGCTGGTAAGTTGCTGGGTCCTGGGGCGGCCTCTGGAATGGGGTCCTGCGTCGGGGGTGTGGGTGCAGGGCAGGACCCGTGACCCGAGGCCTCCTCCTGCCCACGTGGCGTAGACACACCACCGGGCGCAGCCCCTGGCTGAGGGGTGTGTGGGGTGGAGGTCAGGTCCTGCGCCTTCTTCCCAGAGGCTGCCCGAGGCCCGTGCCACAGGCAGCCACCTCCGGAGACAGCGGCTGGTCCAGCACAGGTGGTCTGGGTGGCCCCAGGCCTGGGAAGTGACCGGCTGCCGGGACAGGAGGTGACACCATGTCCCTTTCTGCCCCCAGATCACCAGAAGCTGGAGAGAGAGGCTCGAATCTGCCGCCTTCTGAAGCATTCCAACATCGGTGAGCACCGTGGGCGGGGGCCTCCCTCCCTCCCGCAGCAGGCGGCCTGTCCCTCCGGACCCCAGAGGCCCCTCTCTTCTGCATCAAAGCCCCCTCTCCCCATCTCCTCCTCATCAGGGGATCTTGGGGCCAGACAGCCCCTTGGGGAGATCGAGGCTGGACACGCCCTGGAGGCCATGCCCACCCTCAGTAACTCCCAGTCAAGATTCTCAGGAAGCAGGCAGGTCCTGGATGTCCTGCGGCTTCAGAAAAGCCACAAGGTGGCTGGTGGCAAAGAAAGAAGGTTGGAAACCCAAGACCATGGCAGGCACAGCCCGGCCTGGGGTCCAAGGCCTGGTTCTGCAGAGCCCTGCGTCTAGCAGCCCCGGACCCAGAACTGGGGAGGGGGCACCACGGGGACACATGCAGCCTCCAGAGCCAGGCCTTGGTCTCGGGGTGCAGCTGCAGTGGTCCCTTCTCTCTGGCACCCCAGAGCGGGTCTGTGGGTGGGACAGTTGGAGCTGCTTGTCCCCAGACCGTGCTGACCCTGGAAATAGGTGTGGGTCTTGGCCTGCCGCCCCTCTGCCTGCCCTTCGCCCCCGCGGCTCCTTTCTGGGGCCTGGTATGTGAGTCCCGTTGGGATACCCAGACATCCCATGAACCGGGGCCCCCGGCCATCAGGGCCATGGTTTCCCTCCGGTCTGCGCTCCCCCCCACCCCCCCCCTTGTGATGGAAGCCCAGGCCCTGGGGGGCTCCCCTCGCACAGGCAGCTCCGGCTGCCAGCCTCACGGTCTCCTGTCCCCGCAGTGCGTCTGCACGACAGCATCTCGGAGGAGGGGTTCCACTACCTGGTCTTCGATCTGTAAGTGCTCAGCGTCGGGCCTGGGTGGGACCCGGCTCCCTGGCCTCGCCCCCTCGCCTCCCTGTTGCTTCGCACTGGGCTGCCTAGTCCCATGGCTGGGCCACTGCTCTGGGCCTCCTCCTCCAGACAGAACCCTCAGAAGGGGGCAGAGGAACAGGCCTCCCATCCCCTTCTCTCTCGGTGTCCTCACCACTCGGGTGAGGCCCCTGCTGGCACGTGCATGTGAGCGTGAGAACGCGTGTGTGTGAGAACGCGTGTGTGTGAGAACGCTTCCCCGTGTGCACTTGTATGTGTTGATGAGTGTGCACGTGTGGGTGTCAGCATAGGTGTGAGTGATCGCATGAGCGTGTGTGTGCGTGTGTGTGTGTGTGTGTGATTTGTGAGGGTATGTCTGTGCGTGTGTGTGGACCTGGGTGCGTGTGTGAACTGTGATTTGGAGGGGGTGTGCGTGTGTGTGCATGGGTGTGCATGTGTGGCTGGTGGGGTGTGTGCATGTGTGTGCATGTGTGTGCGTGAGAACGCGTGTGTGTGAGAACGCGTGTGTGTGAGAACGCGTGTGTGTGAGAACGCGTGTGTGTGAGAACGCGTGTGTGTGAGAACGCGTGTGTGTGAGAACGCGTGTGTGTGAGAACGCGTGTGTGTGAGAACGCGTGTGTGTGAGAACGCGTGTGTGTGAGAACGCGTGTGTGTGAGAACGCGTGTGTGTGAGAACGCGTGTGTGTGAGAACGCGTGTGTGTGAGAACGCGTGTGTGTGAGAACGCGTGTGTGTGAGAACGCGTGTGTGTGAGAACGCGTGTGTGTGAGAACGCGTGTGTGTGAGAACGCGTGTGTGTGAGAACGCGTGTGTGTGAGAACGCGTGTGTGTGAGAACGCGTGTGTGTGAGAACGCGTGTGTGTGAGAACGCGTGTGTGTGAGAACGCGTGTGTGTGAGAACGCGTGTGTGTGAGAACGCGTGTGTGTGAGAACGCGTGTGTGTGAGAACGCGTGTGTGTGAGAACGCGTGTGTGTGAGAACGCGTGTGTGTGAGAACGCGTGTGTGTGAGAACGCGTGTGTGTGAGAACGCGTGTGTGTGAGAACGCGTGTGTGTGAGAACGCGTGTGTGTGAGAACGCGTGTGTGTGAGAACGCGTGTGTGTGAGAACGCGTGTGTGTGAGAACGCGATGTGTGTGAGAAGCGTGTGTGTGAGAACGCGTGTGTGTGAGAACGCATGTGTGTGGCTCTGGTTCCCCGTGTGCACTTGTATGTGTTGATGAGTGTGCACGTGTGGGTGTCAGCATAGGTGTGAGTGATCGCATGAGCGTGTGTGTGCGTGTGTGTGTGTGTGTGTGATTTGTGAGGGTATGTCTGTGCGTGTGTGTGGACCTGGGTGCGTGTGTGAACTGTGATTTGGAGGGGGTGTGCGTGTGTGTGCATGTGTGGTTTGTGTGCATGTGTGTGCATGTGTGGTTGGTGGGGTGTGTGCATGTGTGTGCATGTGTGGTTTTGTGGGGTGTGCGTGTGTGTGCATGTGTGGTTTGTGGGGTGTGCGCATGTGTGTGCGTGTGTGGTTTGTGGGGTGTGTGCATGTGTGTGCATGTGTGATTTGCAGGGGGTGTGCGTGTGTGTGCATGTGTGGTTTGTGTGCATGTGTGTGCGTGTGTGACCGTGTGCGTGCGTGCGGGGCTGAGTGGGAAGGCACCTGGCCCGGCCGCCTCTGGCTTCTGCTGGATTTAGAAGGGGTGATCTCACCCCTGCTCCCCGACAACCCCCTGGCCGGCGCTATATTTAGCTTCTGTGAGTCAGTGCCCTGGGGACATGGGGCGGGCAGGGCCATAGGCTTCAGGCAGCCCTGGGGCCTCCAGGCTGCCAGGGGCCAGGAAAGCCCCACTGGGTGCTGTTGCCATGGTGACTGGGCTGCTTGCATGGAGGACACTCTCTCCCTTAAAGGACAGCTGCCTCGGGCCATGGGGCTCGGAGGCCTGAGGAGCCCTCGGTCAGGAGAGGCCCGGACTGACCCTGCGAGGTGCGGCCTCCTCTCAGTACCCGTCCCACAAGACACCACTTCGGTCCCCAGTCAGGTGGCCAGAGCTGCTGGCGAGGCTGTCCCCTGACGCTGTCCATGGTCCTTCCGTGGTGGCAGGCTCACCCCCCCAGGCAATGCCAGGCCAGGAGCTGGAGGTGCCCTGCCCAGGGACTTGGTGGCTGAGGTGGGCCTGTGTCACTCAGGAGCAGACGGGGAGGGAATGGTGTGTGTGCTTGTCCGTGTAAACGTGTGTGCTGTGTCAGTACGTGCACCCGTGTGCACGTGTGTGTGTGTGTGCCCGCAGGACCCTGCTTTCTGCCCTCTCTGTCCACACCCACGTGTCCCAGCCCAGGGTTCCCCGCGGCCCTCCAGGCAGTGGCTCCGGCCCGGGGCCCACCATGTAGGGACTGACACAGTGGCAGTGGGACCTGGAGCCCCTAGAGACCTCGCCCACGGGGAGGCCAGACCCCTGCTCTGAGGGGCCACCCCTCTGGCCCTGTGGGGGGAGGAGGAAAACCGCCTGTGTGCTTCCCCGCAGGGTCACCGGCGGGGAGCTGTTTGAGGACATTGTGGCGAGAGAGTACTACAGCGAGGCCGACGCCAGGTGCCTCTCTGTCCACACCCACGTGTCCCAGCCCAGGGTTCCCCGCGGCCCTCCAGGCAGTGGCTCCGGCCCGGGGCCCACCATGTAGGGACTGACACAGTGGCAGTGGGACCTGGAGCCCCTAGAGACCTCGCCCACGGGGAGGCCAGACCCCTGCTCTGAGGGGCCACCCCTCTGGCCCTGTGGGGGGAGGAGGAAAACCGATCTTTTCAGGCCAGGAATCAGCCTCGAGGCCCCAGCACTGCTGCAGACCTGGGCCAGTCACTAACCTCAGCTCGAGTGCCCCTGTCACGGGGTCGGGGGAGAGCAAAATGTGAAATGCCCGTCAGTGAACTGTCCGTCTTGGGTGGCAGGCAATGGGGCAGAGGTGCCAGTGGAGGAGGTGGGGGAGGGGAG